GCCCCCGGCTGGCAGAGGGCAATGAGCAGGTTCTGATCGCTGACTTTTCGCAGTCTGCCTCAGTCCCCCAGGAGGCTGCGCGGCCCTTGGTAACCCGGGGGACGACCGAGCCGGTATAATTTTCGAAGGCGTCAATACCGTGAGTGGCAGGTGGCTGGATTTTACGGAGACTTGCCACGGTCTCGAACCCTCCTCCTTTCTTATCCGGGCTTGGGACCGGCCATGGCGGAGTTCTTCCAACCCCTTCAAATCTTAAAATATTTCAATAGAAAAACCATATAAAAAAACATGGGGTCTGTTTATACCAAGTCTCAAATTCTTTAGACAATATTATCCTTCTGTTCAATAAAAGGCGGTGTTTTTGTTCAGCTGCACTACTACCTCAGCTGCTGAATATAGCGCAGGAGCATAAGCACTGGGAGCCCTTAAGGGAGCATAAGAACTGCATTTTCATTTCAGCATAAATTTAATGCATATCAGACATAAACTAATGTATGCTGATATAGGCTGAAGTGAGTTTGCTGTCGAGTCAAAGTTGATTGAACACCCGTCAGTTTATCGCTATAGAGACATGTCAGGTAAAATTGACACTCACTAAGAAACAAACGGTTAGGGTGCAAAACATTATTTGTATTTCATTCGATTGATTGCATTATATCTATTCAAAGGCCGTTAACCGAACAGTTGCCTATTGCATAAAACAGTTCCTAGCCATCTCTTTCTTCAAAGACAGAAATGAATGCTAGCTAGCTGTGAAAGCCTTCTCCCAGTTTGCCCGACACTTGAATCACCTCAAATTTTTACTCAGGGTATAATTAAACAGTACAGTCTTACAAGACTAACGAATTTCTAACAGTCTTAATTACTCTTGCTTAAATAGGGGCAAATTTTAGTGCTGACAACAGTTAAGACGACCGAACTGGCTTATGACTTATCAGATGTAGTAATTAGAACCTCAGAGTCTCGAACAACGTCACTAGGTAAGTTGCTTGAAGCCGATCGCTTCCACACACCTGAAATGAAACTATTGAACTAAGATGCTATCGATCACTTTTTAGGAAACGACCACATCAAGCAATGCTACTATTCGTTGTTAAATAACAGATTACTATAATAACTCAAACAGAATACACAGTCGTTTCTCAAAAGCAGAAAACTAATGCTATAACCACTGAAATGTGCTAGTAACATTCACTTTCATATCCTAAATCTTCCAATCGTCGATCAGCGGCTTAAAAAACTTTTCCAATGACATAGGACTTATTTCGACTGAGCAAGCATAACGGATGAATTGTAAGGCACGGGCGGCAAAATCTCTTAGCATCCTTGAAGTCTCAGATATTGGCTTACTGAGAGAATCCTAGAAAAAACTTCCTTCCAGCCACTAATATGTGTGATCATGCAGTCAATATCTGGCATTTATTACCAGGAATAACGGTAGAGAAGACCAACTTAAAGATAGTTTCGTACTGTCCATAGCTTGCATGAAGGACGTTCGTTGTCGCCTACAGACATAATCAGCAATAGTTTATGGTATGTTATAAAGCAATATCACAAAACCAACTTGGCTACTAAGCAAACAAATCAAAAACAAAACATGGCTTACAGACTGATATCTCATATAAATCTGATGGCACCAAATAAATATGCAACACGAAACGTACGTGTTTACAAAGCAGACACGTACCTTAAGGCGCAGCACTTCCTCGACCAGCTTTTGATTTGACTCTGTTAACTGGCGCACTGGCTCGACGATCTGTTGGCTCAGCTCTCGCATCGATGTGCTCCACATATGAATTGTGGCGCTCAGTGTATCGGTCACCGTTTTCAGATCACTAGAAGAGCTGCTGCTTTGCTTATGCACAGAATAGTCGTATACTTCAGCAACACGACACAGAATTTCTGCCAGCATATCGGCGGTGGTTTTCTATACAAGGCATGGCGATACTTCAAAATAAGTACGAAACAAACGTTAATTACTTGACTGGAACCACTGGCAGGTGAGAAACCTTCTCCGCCGTTGTCGGCACTTATTCGGCCTCGTTCCGTCGACCTTGCGCCACCGCCCTCGACATGATTTGTACTTGTTGCCGTCACGATCGGCATACTGCATTTCGTTAGAAGAGCGTCAAGCGCCGTGCGTTCAGCCTTTATTACCTCAGCATCAACCGAAAATCTACCCGTCGTCAACTAAAGCGATCAAGTCGACTGCTGCTGACCCACATTGCTTACAAGAACTTGCCTTTATGTCTTCGCCAATTCGCTTTTCGAAAGCTTGCAGCGAACTAAAGGCCTTCTGGAGTAAAGAATGTTTTTCCGTCGAAACCGAAGAATCTTGTAAACCCAAAGGCAATGCCTCAGCTTTTTTTTTGTACGCCTAGAAAAACATTTTCGTTTATAAAGGATATAAGTAAACATAATAGTACAATCTGCTACATATATACATCAATCACAACTTTTTCCGTGGCCATGAGGTAGCCTTCCTGCAAGATTTTATACAATAGCTAAAGGTCTTTTGAAGTCACAGAATTTCTAGGCAGAATGGGATAAGTTTCGCGATAGCCTGCGAATTATTTAATTCAGACGTTGGGTTGTTGGGCTACTGCAAGGTGTCGACGCTAATATTAATCCGCCTGAAAGATTATCGGTTTTTTCTATGCTTTAGATAATAACTATTTAAAAAATGAAGGTACTCGGATTGCAAACTTGGAATGTAGAACTATGGACTGAGACTTATAATTGTCACGTTACTACTTCAAAAAAAAATCAAAACATGATCAAGTGCTAGAAGAATTTCTACTGCACTGGGTCTGCATTGAGTCATCTTCGACAATTCCACAAGAGTCGGTAAAGATATTAAAGGGAACTATATAAAAAAACTACGTGATAGAATTTGTCAAGTACGGATAGCCTATCTTGGAACACTATATAACACGATGTACTCAGTACCAATAAACTGAGTATATCCCATCAGGTGCTGTCGGTAGCCACGCTCCATCAGTCTAAACTTCATCCTTCCACTTCAGAGCAGTCAAACATTGCTTAATAAGTCAAAATTGTCGTACAGAAGCCACAAATTTCGAATGCTGTACTTTCAATTTCGAACGAATCAGAAGAGATGCGATGACCACGTTTAACGCTTAAGTTCACCTAATACTTCATTCTTAATTTTGGTCAACCAATGAGGCACTGGGAGAAAGACTGCATTAAACTAACAGAAAGAACATTTATGTTTACGTCGGTTTAACCTCCAGCATGAACCACAAAGAGGAAGGTAAAGGAAGAACTGGAGACTTTAGATCGTTGTAAAACACAGCGTTTATTGGGCCATAGGTTCATCAGTCGACGCAGTAATCTACAAAGTTCTCATCTTAAACAACAGTTGAAAACAGTTGCTCTTCGCCCACTGCTGTTTCATCAAACTAAGCATCACAGAAAGACCATAGAAATGAAGAACTTCGAACAACTAAGCGAGCTGCACCTTTATTATTGATTCTGATGAAGCTTGGTAATGACTGATGTGTCATAAGCGATTTTCAACTGGAATTTTGCCTTGCTATCATGTACTAAAATCTGATCAAGTCAGCAGTTCGAATGATTTTTTTGCTTCCTATTTGGTATATGGTTGAAAGAAGCACAAATATCTGTTAGTGCAACGACTGCGCTTTCTTATCTTGTCTTCATATTTAGTTACTCAATGATTTCTTCACTTAATCATTTGTCTGTAAACTTAACCGTTTAATTATTTGTCTCATCACTATTTTGTCAAACAACAGTCATCACGCAAACTTGTTTGCATCACTGTAACTTGACAATGAACCAAGGATGGCTCGAAACGTCGGTGACCTGTATACTACACTGTACATGCGGAGCAATCCGATAAAAAACATAAAGATCATCACTTATCACTGATGCTAAAATAAACCCAGTTGTCCGTGCATTGCTTAGACTTCATTTCATTGGTTAGATCGTCCAGATTTCATACTAGTAAGTTGCGCTAGGTCAAGTTAGCGACCCGATAAGAATGAGCTTGGCGAAATTCCAGATATGCACTTCGTCAAGTTCTGATCAATCTGGTCAAGCAAACTCGTGCAACTGGTGAATCTCAGCGTTGTAGTCACCATTTTCATTCCGGAATGAGTCAAGATTTGAAAAGGTGGTTGAAAAGGTCATCGCGATGCCGACATTCTCTACTTGTTGCCTTCTGCCAAGAGATTACAATAAGTATTACGCAGTCGGCATACCGAAGGTATATGATTAATCTTCCTCAGATTTTTTATTTACTAGTAATGTTGTAAAATCGTACCAAATATTGACCATACAACGCAAGGGGCGTTTCCAGATGTTCCAACGCCTTTAGTGCGTCATCGTTAGAGTCGTGAAAAATGTTATTCACCGCTTGGAAGTATTTGCTTAGTTGAAAGTAATAATCTCTATCAGACGCAGTCAGCGGAGCGTATGTATCAGCAGCAATCTTTTGACTTGGTATTCGACTGCTGAACGAAAACAGTTTATGTCATAAAACAGCGGGACGTGCGTGTGCTTACGAGGAAACAACGCGACCGATGACCTTCCAATATTCTACAGCGTAGTCAGACACACGCACAATGTTCTGTCGATCAAAATTGTTCTTGCTCATGAACATCATCTAAAACAGCAAATCATAACAGCGATATGTTCAACAAAAAAATGAAATAACTGTGACAAACTCAAAGTCTCACAAGTTTCACGCCTATCTCGCTACATCATAAAATATAGGTACTCAACAATCTGAAGTGAATGAAGCTAAACAGAGTAGTAATTTGCTTTCCATGACTAAAGAATATAAATACCATATTTAAAAAACCAATTATTTAAAATTTAACTGGACAGAGGCCCAGATTAATCAGATGCACAGTGAATACTTTTTCGGTAATTCCCTACTAACAAACGAAAATAACAGGCATTACTGCATTACAAGTGAAAGTAACTCATACCAGTCGATCCAACAGCGTCACAGTACTGATCAACAACTGAATCTCACGCTCCGGGTTACAACGCAGGCGCAATACTTCGAGACCATCTGAAACTCGGACACGGTCTTTTCCACTAAAAGAAAACTAATTAATGAATAAAATTTGCAATATAATTACGATTTCTCCTAGTAATTGGTTTATAAAAAATAGAATACTGTTAAGAACAAGTAACAACACTGCTTACAATCTTAAGTGATAAACAAACCAATGCTCTTAGCATACATTCATGCTGAAAATGACGGAGAGGTGATTCACTAGTGAGAGTGACTAAAGATTCAACGAAAATTAGAGCTTGTAACCACTGTAGTATTATTCCTCTTTGCGCTCCTCTAATCTGGCCATTTATGGAATTCTTCTTTTATTGGTCTTATTCTGTGGGGTTATATTCCGCACTGTGTCATCACAACGAAGTGCTAGTTGCATTTTTAAAGGCCATAAGATAAGTGGCGATCATGGCATGTGATGTATAATTTGCGAACTAGTACTCATTTACATACCCCAGAAAGACGAATGGAGAATTACCTGGCCGGGTTCCAATTCATAATTTTTCTACTGTGGGCTTGATGCTCTACCGCACGAGATACCCTCATCTGACGAAAAGTGAAGGAGTATGGGGACACATTTACACTACTGCGTTCAACTTTTCGATGATGTAATAGGGTTGAAAATATACATCGACCAATGTTCTCCACAAATCAGAGAAGGGACAACGATCAATCTAAGGGTTCGTATATATGCGCAGTACTTGGTTGCTTCTATATTCTTAAGATCTGTCATGAACCTTAAAATATACGTCAACGATGCAGTAATATAAAATGGCTGACATATTTTGTCTTCAAGGCTAACGTGCTTCAGAGAAAAGCATCAATCTATGACTGCAACAGAAGAATTAACAAAAACGCTTATATTAAACTACCAAAATGAAACGTTCAATTCATTCAACATGTTACATGACCTATAAAGAAAAATGGTTCATAC